AAGCAGTCTAGTGAATAAAAGAAGCTGGATGCGAACATGAATATGACATATGACAGAGGACATAAACCTCACAGAGGAAACCTACCTTAGAAAACAAGTTATAAAGAAACATAGCAGACAAGGATACAATAATTGCAGATAAGGAGCAAGTAATATCACTATTGGAGAAGAAAATTATCATAATTGAAGAAAAATTGGCATTAATAACATAATAATAATAATATTTATTTGGTAAATAGGATACATTCCTAATACTTATACAATAACAAAATTATAACTAACAAAAATCATGACTTATCATCTTATTAGTAATACTTTCAGTTACATTTGTTATAAATATGATGCAGTAGATCAGTTTTGAACCTTTTTTAATGTTGAAGCATATTTAATTGAATGAGGCAATTTGTTGTATGTATCAAAACCTTTGACATATACGGAGTTCATACTGATTTTGGTATTAGTTCTATGTATATCTATGTCAAGATTGTCTAGTGTAATTTTTGTGAATATCATAATTGAATGTAATATTTGTGAATATCATAATTGAAACAAATAAATTTTTCAAGATATGTTCCAGTTAAATCATTAACAATTTTATGCACAAATATCATTGTCTGGTATAAAAGTCTCTGAGATACCGAAAGCCAATTTAGGGTTGTTAACATTGTAGTTAGGGAAGTATATCGGTTTCTTCTCAATAAAATTCTCATTCCTCTATTTTGTAGTCCTGCCTGTTTGTTCAAATTGAAAGAGTATAAAATCGAAGGGCAATAAACAAAGTGTGGTTGTGTTTTATAGACTACTATCTTTGTGTTTAAAGACATGCTAGTTTTTTCAAAATTTTCTTATGTATGTATTGAAAATTTTCTTCAAATGTGAGATTGCACTCCAGTTGAAACCCTAAGTATTTTACAGTATTATTCACTTTTATATTTGTATTTTGAAGTGAGGATCATGGCAGTAGTTTTACTCACATTCAATTTCAATTAATTAATGTTTATATATTTGTCAACTTTTTGCAATATCACATTCATTTTCTGTACAGCAGCATCCAGGCTTATCAATACAAGCTAATAGAGTATCGTCTGCAAACAGGTTGATAAATTCACAATCGACATGTATATTAATATCATTTAAATATATAATGAATAGTAAGGGACCCAAAATACTTCCCTGGGGTACTCCTTTATCGTTTAATATTTCATTTGAAATTGTACCATTGATTCCTATTCTTCGTTTTCTGCCTTCAAGATACGTTATAAAACCATTCATTAACTTTGCCCTCAATTCCGTATATTTTCATATTGCTGAGCATTATATTTGTCGATTGTTTCGAAAGCTCTCTTCAAATCTAAAAATACCGCTACTACAAACTTGTTGTTATCTAATTTGTTTATCAAATAGTTAAGTGACCTCTGTAATGCCGATTCACAAGAGTACTTTTTTTGAAACCCTGCGACTGATTATCAAACAATCTCATTTTCATTCGCAAAGTTTAGCGATTGATTGTAAACAGCATACTCAAGTACTTTCTCCATGGGCGGCAACGTATTAAAAGGCCTAAATTCCTCAGCTATGATAGTTTTATTCACCTTAGGAATTGGAATAATAGTACTAATTTTTAGCAGATCTGGGATCTATCCAGTCTGAAGCGAAGTGTTGATAAGATTCAATACAGCATGTCCAGCAGTTTCAAAAATTTGTTTAACAATTTTGGCATTTACGATTTCGTATGTATTACATTTATTGTCTAATGAAGCAATAATATCACGTAATTCTCCTAATGAAACCATTTTGAATTTAGTTATAGGCAAGTAAAGGTTAGAATCACAATTATACCACACTTCATCACTTTGAATGCTCTCGATTATCTGGTTAATACTATTAACAAAATAATTGTTGAAATGTTCAACTAAGGATGTCTCTTCCTTGACAATGTACGAGTCTCCATTATAATCAAATAATTGTACCTGACTGAATGAGTTTTCGTTACTACTTTTTACAAGGAATTTTAATGTTTTCCACATCATCTGAGAATTGTTTCTATATCTATCAATTTTATTTCAGTAATACTTTTCTTGCTTCCTTTTTAACATGTTCACAACTTCATTTCTGAGTATTTTAGAGCTATCCCATTTGAGTACTTTTTCAGTTGGAGAAGATTCAATAAATGATTTATAGGCTTTATCTCTTTCCTTGATTTTACTATTTACTTCATTATCAAATCATGGTACACTATTTTTAAATTGATATATTCTCAATGGTGCTATATTGTTGATAACTACAGAACAATTATCAATGATTTCTTGATAAATAAAATTTACATCTACTGAACTCAATGCCCATAAGCATGGAATCAAATTAGTTTTTATTTTATCAAGATTACCCTCACAAAGATTTCTATATTTTTTTGTAATATTGTTTTGTTTCAATGGCTTTAATAGGAAGATGACTGATATTACCATATGATCTGTGATATTGGGGGATAAGTGAACGTTGGTTATAATATCATTTTGATTTGATATAACATAATCAATTAATGTTTCAGATTCTAATGTGATATGTGTTGGTTCGGTTACAAATTGCTTCAATCCATATGTTGAGAATAAAGTCTCGAGTTTATTCACATAGAATGCATTTTCTGAGAAATTCAAATTAAAATCTCCCGCTAGTAAAAAACAATTATTTGCTAACATAATGTCATCAATGATCTCTTTAAGATGTTCCAAAAAAGTAGCATCTGAACTCGATGGGGAATGATATAAACAACCAATAAACCATTTTGAAGATTTTAAATCAATTTTTAGAATTGTACATCGATGGTAATTGTACAAAAATTACCATTGAGCACAAACGATTTATAACTAGAAAACTCAATTAATGCAAATAAAACGAGTACTCAAACAAAACACCAAATCACTGAGGCAACAAAAAAAAAACAAGGAGATAAAGTTGAACCCACAAAAAAATGGTCTTCCACAAAAAAGGGTAAACAAAATCAATACCATAAAAATGAATCATCAGAACAAGGAACTCCCAACATACAGAATGGCCCAAACATCACAGTGAATCAGCTGGCAACAGAAATTATGAAAATTCAAACAGAAAAAAAGGCCGAAGAAATAGTAAATCTTGAAAATGAGAATTTTGTTCTCGAAATTAAACAAAATTCGATATACAACAAAGTAGCTGAAATATTCAGTAACGATGATGAACGAGAACACTTGGACGAATTTATAACAGTATCTAGATAAAGAAGACCGAAAATAACTAAGCACAAAGTAGGAAGCGGTGAGGGTGATGAACAGTTTAAAGGAAACCCCAAAGCAAATAAAAAAAAATCTGGTTATTCCTGTTAAGAGTGCCTGACGAAGTGACAGAAGAAAACATAACAACTTATACAGGGTGTTCCTTAAACACATGCTAATATTTAAGGAGGTAATTCTTAGACCCATTTTAAGGAAAAAACGTCCTATGGACGTATGTCCTAAACGCCTTAACTTTTGAGATACAGGGTGGCAAAGTTTTCAAAAATAATCAGTTTTTTAATAATAACTGAGATAATTTTGTAGACATCTTTGGCATATTTGGTACATATGTTCCATGCCTCAAGGC